ATGGGGAGTTTATGATACATGTCGTTACTTGGTGAACTGTTGTGACCGCCGATGCATAACTAATATCGCACTGCTGCTGATACATGCGTGTGATAGAGTAACTCGGGTTCTTTAGCGGAACGGTTAGTATAATAAACTACCTTGGCAATGGTTCCGGGTTCAAACCTGGGTAATGGTATAATGCATCGTATCATCACGTTAGGGCCAAGTTGTTTGCGAGCATGGTAGCCCCTTCACAGCCACCACCAGAGGTCCTCAGCGTGAAGCCCGTCGTCCCTCCACACGTATTAGAATCATTACTCAGCTACAAAAGCAAGGCCCTGATCAGCCGAGGTGAGTAGTACTCGATACACCTTTGGCCACCTTTGGATCCTCCCTGCAGTGCCCTTATCCAAGGAGGCCCTAAGGAGGATATCTTTCGAGGCTGAGGCGTTGTCGGCTAAGCTGGCCAGTGAGGCTTTGGCCAGCAGTAGAAAACGAAGGGAGGCAACTATAGCTGATCACGACAGCGAGGTCAGGTCTTCTTGATGTCCATTGTCGTTATGCTTCTGGTTTAGATGGTATCAGAGGTGGATGCCGCCGAGGAGGACGATTTAATGCGAGCTCTGGCAGGAGGAGAGAAGGAGGCTCTCTCTGGAGAGGTAGGAGTCCCACCGTCATAGTTTGGTTGCTAGGTTGGATCTTAGCAACGGGTGACCCTCGAGGACGTCATTGTTGCAGCCAAGGCCCTGGGGTTGGCCTTACCGTTGCGGGGTTGTGCTGGATCCTGAGCCGATCTTGATGGGACTGTTCTCTCAGACTGTTATCATTCACTATTACTATTGTGACAATTCATTGAAAATTTCAAACCCTCCATGCCTTGAGCTCTCTGTTCAGGCCAGTTGTCTCCCTCACCCGTCGTTGTCAGTCTCCTGTTGGGACGTCACCCCACAGTTCGCATGGCTCTACCACAATGTAAAGTAAATGCCATACGCGAGGGCCTCCTATGCAAGGTAGCAGACCATCCTCGAGTGTCGAGAGAAGCCGTCAAAGTGTCAAGCTTGTGGGCGAGAAGTGAAGGCAATGCTAATGACCAAAGTTGATGAGGAGCACGTTGGTAAATTGGAACTGTCGGGGTTGCAGAACGAGGCCGCCTTCGTTGATGGAGGCGTAGACTGGTGAACACGAAGCGCCTCCCCGCCGCTACTGTAGGTTTCGTATTGCACAATTTACGTACGATGCGTTTGCCAGTTGGGGGTTTCCTGATGGGACTTGACAACACAGGCAAAGCACGAGAGGTATGACACGAAGCCGAGATCGGGTGAAACGCCGGTTATATACACGAAGTGACTACATAACTCGAAAAGGGTGCGTTTCCATACCGTTATATTCCCTGAGAAAGGTGAACATACTTTTGTCATGATTTGATCGGTTTCACTGGTTGTTATAGTATGACTTGGAGATAGCTTTAGATTCATATCTGATACCATAACTTCGGTAATTTATAGGATACCACTCGAGAGACTACCCAATTCAACTCCAATCGGACCGAGCCGTTTTGAAACTTAACTCATCTGTTATCGATTGACATAATTGTGGCGACGACTCGACAAAGACGGTTCAACGAACTATGCCAGCAAAGTTCGCAGAGCGAAATCATCAGACGAATGATGATGACTAGATGATTCAGACACTTCAAGAGCTCCCTGTCACTCTATCGAGAAATGAAATCTCAAATGCAGCAAAACCACCAAGTACGATGTGAAACAGTGGAGCATACCCAACGCTAGTGATTGCATCGACAAATGCACGTTTCTCCCGAAAGTACCACACACTGGCACCACCAATCACAGCCACCAGCACAGTACTTGCGCAGACAATATTCATCGACCCTACGTAGGGCGGGAGATTGGTCAGCGTTGGTTAGTAGAGACCACCAGATGAGAGTAATCAGCAGAGTATATCCTCGAGCCATATAGGTGTCACAGAAAGTGGATAACTAGTTGACAAATAAGGCTCAACAAAGTCCCGCAGTGGTACATCAACAACTAACCTCATCAACCGATGTGAATCCAACTTGAAATTCAATTCATCTATCGACCATCTCACAGTAGAACGAATGGCGAAAGCTCAGCTCACGAAGCTGAGCAACGATATGCCGAATATCTGTTTTGGGGTGATGCTCAATTTGACGCTCGTAACCGAAGGAGGCGAAGATCCTCTGCTGACGTTGAACGGTCTTCGCCTGATCTATTACGTAATCGATCGTGGCGCTGAGAGACAAGTGGCCACGGTGAGTCACCGTCGGTGACTTGAGGAATCAATGGAATGGTCTCTTGTCTGATGATAGGGAAGAGGCTCCAACGAGCAGTAACAGGTGAGTGGGTATCGCTGACTTGGCTAGGCCCGTGGGAGAGTCCTTCCCATGTGAACTATTCTCCTGATCGGATAGGCTCACGATCATCACAATGAAGTGAGACAGTGTAGCGATGACGCCAAACCTTCGCTAGTCCCAAGTCAGAAAATCCGAGCTATGCACGCAAGGGCTGATTTTTCCATCCATGCTTTACTCAAATGAACCTACTCGGGAAGGTTGACTTTCTGGGTGCATTCTATGACACGTCTTCCTAAGCCCGTTTAAATGAATGAAGTACCAGCATAGAGAATGAGCCCCTGCTAAGACTAATGTGGGAGAAAGTTAGGGATAGAGTCCTAGGCTGGGCTCCTTGGCGACTTGAGCTATCATCATTCGGATTGAAAATCGTACTGATGATGGTGAATAGGACCCGAGACGTGGGTCCAAGTCCTCGGAGATACGTCCTGGGTCATGGATGCACTTTAATGCACTTTGTTCCAGTCTGTAGAAGACTACTTTCCCTCCCTGTGCCCTGACTTGGAAATAAGCACTTCTATTGGCCTCTGTAATCCAGGACCGGGGCACGGTTGCTGTCCATATTCAAGGCTTCAGCGGCGCTGATTCAGCGTAAGCTATTGCTGAAGAAGTCAACTTGACTTAGTCAAGAATGAACGTAGCGACAATTTCGGCAGTGGGTCAGCAGCTGACCATCCAAGACGGAATGGTGTCAGCAGAGACCGTTCCGTCTTGGATGCGCGCCGATTCGTGCGGAAAACTAGCTCCCTTTCGAAGGTTGTCCTCGCCATTTCTCACTGTAAAGATCCGTATATATACTCGCTCGCCAAGAGTGAAACCGTTGCAGTGTAGAACATGGCATGTAATAAAACTAAGATTATACTTTGCATCCACACTCTTGTGGAATTGTGTTCTCATTCATCATGGCCGATGATCAGCACAAGGTAGCCGTCGGTAGACGTACGTTTTGGCCCCGTAAGTCCGGTTTTACTAAGCGTACGATGCGTTTGCCAGTTGAGGCTTTTCTGATGGGACTTGACAACACAGACAAAGCACGAGAGGCATGACACGGGGGTATATTAGGCATGATAAGTGCAGGACAGTTGGGCACACACGAGTTATATCAGTTCACGTCATTTAAAAAATAAGGAATACGTCGTTCTAGGGGAGCATATCATCAATCTTATCGCCATTCTCCAAGGCCTGCTCTAACTTAACCAACTTGGCGCATCCCTCAACCATGATGTTCACCAACTGCACTTCGCTCTTGCCGATCCTGTCCTCATTGGAGATATCGTAGATGCCCCCGACAGAGGCTGAATCGACCCCGGACCCTCCACGAGCCTGAAGGCCGAGCTTCTTGCAGAGCTCCTTGAAGTCGGGCCTGGCGGAGAGGAGGGGCACCTTCATCATAGCAGAGGCACGGAGACCCGTACCCAAATTACTAGGGCAAGTTAGAATGAACCCCAGGTGGTCGCTGTGCATGAAGTCGTAACCTTCGCTCTTCAAGACGTCCTGTACACCATTGACGGCAACACAGAAGCGCTTGAAGATCCTCTTGATGTCAGCGCCCTTCTCCATAGAGATGATTCTCATATGGTCCTCTTCGTTCACCCAGACGAGGAAGTTCTTCTCGTTGTTGTGGAAAATGCCGCGGGCATCAGGCCAGTGGCGACCCATACCACTAGACAGGAGTAGAGTGGAATCGGGCTCCTGGAAGAGGAAGTGGTTCTCGCGCATATCTTCCTCTTGGTCTTTGGTCATGCCACCAGGCTTAGGCTCGTAGCTCTGGGAGCCATGTAGGGGGAAGTAGTCACCCTTGAGCTCCTCCTTGAGGTTCAGCAGACCCTTCACGATAATGCGCTCGAGTTCACGTCTCTCCTCAAAAGTCACACTCGGGGGGAGACGGATTCCACGGACTGAACGGCCGGTACGGACACGAGTCGAGATGACGTATCTGATAACCACTCAAACACCATAGACCGTTGTACTTGGCTCACTTCCCGGTGGGGTCGATAGGGGTATCCGAAACTTTGCTGAAATCGAGATCAGTGGTATGAGTTGCACTAGCGGGGAACCCTCCGTGACGACGATCAATGACGGGGTCAAATCTGTGAGAAGAGAAGCCGTTGGCAAGGCGAGGGGTCAAGGCCTTACAGATCCTTGAAGACCTCGTAACTTTCCTCGTCACCAGCGACAAGGCCGACCGTCTTAATAGAGGGATGCCCGGGGTTGTCAACGCCGGTCTTGATGCACTTGCCGAGATTAACACCTAAAGGGAGGGGGAGTGCCCTACCTTGTAGACAAGGAGGACTTACCGTTCTTAGTGGTCTTTCCCTTCAGCTGGTCGTAGAGTTCTGGCTTTTCGCGCATCAACTCTGCCATGTAGCTGCTATGCTTGGACAGGTCGGGCAGCTTTTCGGGAAGCTGAGAACGAGAATTGAGATCAACATAAGTGGGCTAATAATAGCTCACATTAATAGGGTCGAATGTGGCCTTCTTCTCATCACACATATACTCCTTGTCACCAAGACCAAGCTTGATCCATTCAGGGAGGTGCTCTACAGTGGGAGCCAGACCAGTGGGTGGATAGGACGCCATTCGCTGTGTAGGAAGAAGAACAAAGCCTGAGAGGAACAAGTTGAGTAATTCCACAACATATTTAGTTCGGAATGCGCGAGACCAGTCAACGATGATGATGACTAGGAGAGGCAGTTATTATGAGACTTGAACAGTAGCTGAGACGTTTGAGACGGGACGGGCAACACGAGACTGATCTCAAGTCCACGCCCGAGTTCCAAGGCGGGCGAAGTAAATGCGACGACAGCGCTGATATTCAGGGGTAGACAGCAATCGATAGTGAGTTATGATGAATACCATCACTCCAAGGTGACGGTGGAAAAACTACACCAGTAATTGAGCTGTCCTATAATCATTCACTTGTAGTCTTCGTGAAGAAGACGGT